GTGTGTGTGTGTGTGTGTGTGTGTGTGTGTGTGTGTGTGTGTGTGTGTGTGTGTGTGTGTGTGTGTGTGTGTGTGTGTGTGTGTGTGTGCCTTGCTTTGCTTTTAGTCTCCTATCATCAGTCTTCTGTGCTTCTACTAAGGAACACCAACAATTCTATACCCTGCCCCTGAGTCACAGAGTCCATTTAAGGTTCAGATGTCACACATTCACACGTCTGTGTGCACCTGCACTGAACAGTTCACAGCAGCTCCACACATTACTGAGCCACAGGATGAACCAGACACTGTGACGATGAGGGCCTGCTGATTTTAATGTATACTTTAAACACATATACATCGTGTGTTTAAAACAGCTCTTTTTTGAATTTGTAGACATTTGAGTTTAAACATGTACGAATCATATAAACACACGTATGAATCATATCTTTAGTTATTAGAGCTCACCCTCCACCCCACACTGTCAGATCCTACACATGAAATTTAGTTTTGAAAAATAACACGTCATCAAATATAAACATAATGTAGAAGTGCTCTCCTGCTACAGTTAATACAAGTTACTGCCCCTGGACTGAAATCCTGCCCCAGTTTACATTAGATTATTAAAGTAATTTATCAAAGGCATCCACACTTTCATAAACTTTTCCCTCAAAGCGATTTTTTTATCTTGTTCACCTTAAAATGAAAGATAACATCCGTGATCCAAATGACATGGGTTTTAGGTTTTGAACTCTTCATGTGTTAGACATCAGGTCAATCAAGGTCGTGAGGGCCACCACATTAAACAGTACATGATGGTCTCAGGACACTGTGAACTTGAGTTACTCCATCACTCAGTACCATGGCTACACTCTTTGCTTAGAAACACAGTTGTCCACACACACCAACCACACCACAGTCCTTTTATCTTTTAAACTCAGCTCTGCCTGTTGTCTCCCTCCACTGAACTGTCACATCCGACATGCTTTATCACCACCTTATGGAGATAAACACCACACTGCACACAAGTCATTTCCAAGCAGACACATAAAAGTCAAAACTGTCACTTCAACCAGATTAAACCACGATTTTTACACCACTTGTGTACACAAAGGGAGTTACCGAAACCTGACATTGCGTCTGACTTACTGGAAAACCCCAAGGCGTCGCTTCCAGGCCTCATGAAGGAGCCAAAGTCCTCAGCAAACAGTCCCCGGCTTTTCTCCATGTATGGGTTACCAGAGGATGAGGATGAAGATGAAGTCTGGTGGAAACTACGCTCCGATCGATAGGCAGAAGAGTTGGTCACACTCATGGATGGGTGTGAGTGCTGGGTGAGGCAGAGGAGGAGAGCAAAGGGGAGAGAAGAGGGAGGCGGAGAGAGTTGATTCGTCTGGTAGCTCCTCTGGGAGTATTAAATGTTAGAGATAATACACACAGCTCCTCTGTCTTCCCTTTTTTATTCCTATGTGCTTTATTATTCTTTGTGTGTCTAAGGTAACTGTCTTCCCACGAAACTGCAGCCACTCTCTCATTGGCCCTTATATACTGTGTGGTCCTATACACAGTTGGGAGGAGACGTGTGTCACAGCTCATTGGGAAAGACAAATAGCATTCTATATTTATCGTGAAACACACAGAGTGATGGAGAGAGGGGTCTGTGGTTGGGAAAGTTCTGGGCATTGAAGGGCCCTGAGGTTAAGAGCAGGGGAGAGAGTGGGATTTGATAGAGAGAGGTAGAGAAAGAGAAGGGGGGGGGGGCAACAGTTGTCATTCCATACACACCATCCCTGAAATAGCTCCCCTCTCCAGTCTTTAATTCCCCCCACTCTCTGTCACTCCATTTGTCTGTTTCTTCTGCTTTCGTCCTATTCAGTGCTGTGTCTTTGACCTGAAAATGGATCCTCACATGGTTCTGCCATTAAGTGATGTAACGGACGATCTTTCCACAGCATGGTTTCATCTCATTAGTGAGATTTCTTGTGTTTTGTCAGGCCCCGTCTCATCTGCTTATTGATTTAATCTTTCTCTTTCTGAACATGCAACATTAAGAAGAAATGATTTCCTGGAAGACGCTGCATTCTCCTGCTGAGCTGGATGAAGAGAGAGGAGAGTGAATGGAAAAGTGGAAAAAGGAGACATGCCTCTTATCTCAGAGGATAAGTAAAGAGCAAAACAAAGATGGAAAGAATGTGCTTGAAAACAAAGCCGTCAGCAGCGAGAGCGAGGGACTTAGTAGGGACATTGCTTTGGAGCTATAAATATCTGCATGAGGTGCAGAGCCTATCGTGATTAAACAACACTCACTGCTCTCCCTTGTGTTGCTGACAGAAAATCCATTAAAAAACCTTTAAGTTCTAAATGACCATGTGTTTATAATGACACTATAAGTATTTGACTGTTGCCTTAATTAATCATGACTATAGGTTGCCTATAATCTATGCATGACCTGTGCATGACAACACGTTTCTCTGATTTACTGCGTGACATCACAGCCTCAGTTCCTCAATCACAATGACCCTGAAATTGAAACGACATTATTCAAATAAATCCAGCATGTGTTGTCATCTTTTGTTTTGAAGCCACGTTTGAATAGAAAGGTTATAACAAATGACACCATACAGTGTTATGTCCCTCTCATCTTATCAGTACAGAGCTCAAATCCCCCTGTTGAAGGTCTAAATCCAGCCCAGCAACTCAGCAGCTCCCTGCCAGGGAGCACACAGAGCCTGCTCCTCTCCCTAGTAACAGCAGGAATATTGTTTATTCATACGGGTCTTTTATTCTAAATGAGATATGTGGTACACTGTGATTTGTACTGCCGATGGTGCTATAGTCGAGAGCAATGCTGCTCTGCAAATGTGCTATCACATGTCCTTGACAGTATTCACTTTACTAAGTAGGCTAATATATTAACGATTTACAATTACGTGTCAAAAATATCTCTTGGGTTCTCCACTGCTGTCTCAGTTTTCAAAAGTTTCACAGGATTGTTTTATTATGCAAGGAAGTAAAAGACATCCACTCAAATCAAAGGCCCATAGGAGCGGTAAGGTACACGTTTGATGAGTCACAAGATGCTGAACATCTTAATAGACACCAATCAATCCAGCTAATTTTATTTGTATAGCCAGTATTCACGAATCAAAGTTTGCCTCATAGGGCTTAACAAGTCAGTCATACTCTGCCCCTTTTTTAACAGGGAAAGAAAACATTAACCAAAAGTGAGAGATTCCTCTCCCAGGACGGACAGAATAGAATAGATGTCACATGTAACAGAGCATGCCAACAAAATATGTAATGTTTACAGCATTCATAAGAAAAGATATAAATGGAGAGGTGTATCAATGTTTGAAGTATTTATACGAAAGATAATGCCAGACAGAGCAACAATGACGAATGGAATTGGCATTTAATGGTAATATATGTCAGTGGGTATCTAAGCAATCTACTTGTTATTATAATCCACAATCAGCTGCCACCACGATCCAGGAGACATGAAGAAGAAACGAGAAGAAAAATGATGTAAAAGAAAATAACCATCATAAACCTAAACCTAACTAACTAAGTATTTTAATTTTCCTATGAGGCTTTAACTGGAACAAATAGTGTTAGTACTATCAAGCAGTTAAGTACAGAATCAAAAATGAGTTCCAAATCCAAAAAAGGAGAGAAAATAAGACTCAACAATAAGTAGAGAAGATAAAATATCACTATTATTAACTTCAGGCAGTCTGCCAGGAACACTGAGTTTAAAGGAATCACGACAGAGTGGGAGGAAGAAACGTAAGCAAGTAAATGTGATCCAGTGTTCCGTAAAATCCACGCTGTACCACCAGTGACATTGACTCACCTCTGTAATGTGTGTGTTTGTGTATGCATTCCTATCTGCCCACAGCTGAAACACACACACACACACACACACACACACACACACACACACACACNACACACACACACACACACACACACACACACACACACACACACACACACACACACACACACACACACACACACACACAGGAATTGAGCCTGCTTCAGCTGCCGTGTGTTACATAATGTCTCAAACAGATGAATAAATTCCAGTGATACTCTGTGACTGAGCTGGAAGGTCATCTCACTGCTGCTGTCTTATTTTCATCAGCAGACATTCAGCTTTGTATGCAAATGTGGCCACAATGGCATCAGTAAACAACAGGACCCTGAGACACAACATAAGGTGTCTTAGTCTGGTGCCTCACAGAATGATTTGGAGATGCTGCTGGAGAACGAAACACAGCACATGTGATTCTAAAATCTCCCATAGGTGCTCAGTTGAAAATAGTTTCAATGGGGACAAGAAACACATGTCATACAGGCTGTTAACAGACCGGTCAGGTTAGAAGGTCAGCAACAATATTATAACTCAGACTGTAAACACTATGAGCTCTGTTCCATTGTCATGCTAAGCACACGGCTACTTTGAAGTAAATCAGTATGTGTACGAATGCACACTGTTGTCCCACAAGGAAATGCAAGAATGAGACGAGGGAGCTGCAAAAATTTGAATAAATTGCAAATTAATTAAATACGTAGCTCGATACACAAATCTTAAGAAAAATGATATCACCTCCTATTGATATTCAGGGTAACACAATCTGATTCTGTTGTACTAACTGGAAAATCACTTTTAAGTTTAAAACAGTGAGTAGACATATGAAAGTGGGACATATAGTCATGACTTTGAAGGACAGAACACATTATTAGCATCGACTTCATACCTGTCAAAACCAATCAGTGACCCCCTGTGCCCTAAACATGGAGGCCACCATGTGAGTGGTTACAGTTGAATTTTTCTCTTGATATGATTTCAAACACAGACAAGTTACGATATGACTCCCAAAGTGTTTATTGTACAGATGTTTTACCCCAAGCATGGTCTAAAACCTCACGGACCCTCGACTGACTACTTCTGTCGCAGATAGGGGCACTTGGGCCCTAACTAACTGGGTTTTTCATTTCACTGAAAACAGTTGCCTGCTGCTACATACAGCAACAACTTCATTTTCCTCAGTAGCTGTGCAATTCAGATTTAGTCTGTTCTTAATCCCCAACATTTCCCTTTGTTGTAGTCATTGCTGTATGCAGCTGGAAAATGGGCCTGATGAGAGCAGAGTGGATTGGATTTGGTTGAAGCATCACTCAAGTTGTTTTGAATGGCAAATCAATACTGGGATGTAATTAAGGACAATTATTGAATAAAGTCTCTTACTGTTTTTTCCCCTCTGGGTTCACTGAGATACTGTTTTCATAGGAACAGCACAGGATCTCTTATAGATTTTCCATTCCTTATTTTCTTTATTAAATACTTAAAATTTAAACAGAGGGTATTTACCTTGTGATGTTTTGTTCTCAAGGGAGGGGGTATTATTCTATTTATTTGTAAAATGTTTCATATTCAGTTTTGGGATTTTGTAACTGTTATTGTATTGTATTATTAAGTAAAGTAACTTGCTGTCTGGCTCTTGTCTCGTCATTTTGCTGTTACCATGGAAACAAGTTTTCATACTGAGAGGAGCAGTGTGTACATTTCTTTGGTGTATATGCATGTGTGTGTATGTTTGAGTGTGACTAACACGCACCGTGTGCAGATTTCAAATAAAATAACACTAAATCACAATACTTCACAGCTGATTGAACGCCTGAAGGGGAGGAAGAGAGGAGGAAAATAAACGTTAACTAAGAGCTTTAAAGTTTCTCTCTCTCTCTCTCTCTTGCCTTGTGTGGGTGTGTGTGTGTGTTTCCAGATCTGAATGATAATTACCTTGACATTTAACTAAAATTCAGAATGTAAATGTTGATTTCCAGCAAAGTGTTCTGGGGATTCCTGATCATAGTTTTACACTGAATGTATTTTTCTGCTCCCGGGATCTTTTCCAATGAGAGTCTTTGAAGCCAATCACTGACCTGAGGAAGGTCATTGCAATGACATCATTCACTCCAGATTGTTGCTATCCATCTGAGCAGTAAAATGTTTATTATACTGACCAAAGCTTTCGGGAAACATCATAATAGAACACCTTGTTTCTAAAAGTTGTTAAATTGTATACAGCACAAGTCATCTGCGTGTGTTTTGATCACACAAGGTCCATCATCACGTTGTTTAATATTTCACTGCCGATAAAATACTATACATGTTTACCTGGCTTGAAATTGAAATTGGGCCAGGACTTCATATACGACATAATGTTAGAAATATGGAAGAAAGGAAGGAAGTAGAATGCGCTTTGAAGTGCAAAGTATCAGCTGTTATGGTGGGAGGGATAAAAACCTGCAGGGGATCTCCTCACGGAAAAAGACAAGGTGATGATGAGGGAGCAGCTCTCAGCAGGACGAGCTGTGAATGAGGAGAAAAGAAAATAGACCTTCACATTCACTAAAGTCAATGCAACCAGTGACAGTTTGAAAGCATCTGTAAAAATGTATTTCTCATGCTTTCACCCAAGAAGAAATATCTATGTGTGGTAACAAAGCCATTGTAACAACTGAAAACAATAGATATCAGCTTAAAGAAGACAGTCAGTTGATGAATACCATTTTTCTTAATACATCAACAAAGTTTTATTGCATATTTAATCATATTAGCTCTTCAAAGGTAACCAGCTATACCAACCTCCCAGCTATA